ACGGTGAAGGGAGAGGGAGGTTTCTTGTGTGTGGGGTGTGCCAGTTGAGGAGAAAGGTCAGCCGGATGCTTTCTCTGCCTCTTTGAGCTAGCAGGCTTTCACCCCAGCATCTGCCTCCTGAGCCTTTTACTGGTAAAATCTAACAATTGAGATTTAGTCAAAACAACATCTGTCTAGGCCTTTTTGGCTTTTAGAGTCTCCACGGAGAAGTAGGCGTTATTCTAAATAGGTCTGCCTTTATATGTTATTTGGTCTTTTTCCCTTGCAGCTTTTAATAGTCTCTTTTTTTGTTCTGTACATCTAGTGTTTTATTATGTGTCAAGGGAACCTTCTTTTCTGGTCCATTCTATTTGGTATTTGGTGTTCTACATGTACTTTGTATACCTTGCTAGGCTTCTCCTTTAAGTTAGGGAAATTTTCCTCTGTGATTTTGCTGAAAATATTTTCTGTGCCTTTGACCTGGGTTCCGTTTCCTTTCTCTATTCCTATTATCCATAGATTTTTGTCTTTTCACAGTGAACCAGATTTGCTGATGTTTTATGCCAGGGTATTTTTAGATTTAACATTTTCTTTTACCAAAGTATCCATTTCCTCTATCATATCTTCAGCGCCCAAGTTTCCTCTTTCAGCTCTTGTATTCTGTTGGCGAGGCTTGCCTCTAAGACTCCTGTTTGAGCTCCTACATTTTTCACTTCCTGATTTCTCCCAGTTTGAGTTTTCTTTATTCTATTTCCACTTTCAGGTCTTCAATTGTTTTATTAATTTCCCTTCGCTGCTGTTTGATTTTGTTTTCACATATTTTTTCTTTTTTTGTTCTTTTTCCTTCTGTCTTTCCTTCCTTCCTTCCTTCCTTCCTTCCTTCCTTCCTTCTTTCCTTCCTTCCTTCCTTCCTTCCTTCCTTCCTTCCTTCCTTCCTTCTTTCCTTCCTTCCTTCCTTCCCTTGCTTTCGTTGTTTTTTTGAGATAGGGTTTCTTTGTGTAGCCCTTGCTGTCCTGGAACTCACTCTAGACTATGCTGGCCTCAAACTTAGTAATCTGCCTGCCTCTGCGTCATAGATTTCTTTAAGAGATTGATTCATTTCTTCTTTAAAGACCTCTATCATATTCAAAAGGCTTTTTTTCCAAGATAGGGTTTCTCTGTCCTGGCATTTACTCTGTAGACCAGGCTGGCCTCAGACTCACAGAGATCTGCCTGCCTCTGCCTCCTGAATGCTGGGATTCAAGGCGTGCACCAATGCTGCCCTGCCATAAAGGCAGTTTTAAAGTCTTTTTCTTGTGCTTCAGCTATGTTGGAATCTTTAGGGTCTACTGTGGTAGGGCTACTGGGTACTAGTGGAGCCATTGTTCTGGCTGTTATTGATTGTATTTTTATGCTGGTGTCTAGGCATCTGTGTTGGGGAAAATTGTAATTCTTGTTGTTGATATCTGATCTTGTCCTTTTTGGGGGGGTGTTTTGTTTCTTGGTTTCTGATGCACTTTCTGGTTCTTAGGAGAGTGTGGTGGCTGCGTGCCATCTGCTAGGAAATTCTTCTGGGATCCTGATAGATATGACTACTGGGGGTTCCTGGTAAAATGTGTTTCTAGGTATTGGGAGCTGACACTTAGAGATTGGGATAGGTTAAAGCATAGGAATCTAGCAGAGTCACTGTCAAGAGTAAACATCAGAACAGAATAGTTGTTTTTCATTGTTTCTAAGGCATACATCAGAACGAACAGTTGTTTTTGAAGTACTTTGACATAGAAGAAATCTTGTTGGAAAGATTGTTTTCTTTCATTTCATTTCTTCCATTCAAACAGTGATTGTTTTCTGTCATTTTTAGAGTTGTTTTTCTGAAGCAGCTTTAAAGCCTTTGCATGACTTTGTCACAAGACGCGCCTGGCACACCTGGAGCTCTTGAATTATTGGGTAGTGGGGACAGTATACAATAAACACTAAAGTGTGGGGGGTGTGATGCTTCCCTTCAGAAGAGCATATAGGTCAGGGACTTTGAGGAACTTGTTTACCCCAAAAGGCAACTTTGTGTAACAATCAATAAACATGCCTTCAAATGACTGTTTGAAGTCCAGTCCATCAGAGGTTGGACCTTCCTGCTACCACATAGGTCTAAATTTCATCTGGGAGTGACATCTTTCTTTGATCATCTCATGCAACACAGAACACCTGACATGAAGGCAGGTCCTTGGGGGTCCACGGGAGTGGGGAAAGCAGGGTGTTCATCAGGATCTGCTTAGTACCCTAGGAATGGGGTAGAGTGGAGAGGCCAAAGCAGATGGTCTGCTACAGAGCTGGGGATGAGACTGGGGGATTGGTGTGAGGAGGCAAGACAGTGCTGAGGTTCCTCCATCTTGGATTCTTGCTGAGGCCATTTTAGGCTTAAAGAGTCAGATCTCCTTGATGGAGACGCCCGTCGAAAATTACCCTCTACTCTAGCAACCGAGGTCAAGATGTTCCAGCGAGCGTATCTCAGCATCTGTTAAACTGCTTGCTTCCCAAAACCTCCCTCTGCAGCTGATGAATGAGTAGCCAGGCAGGGTGCATTGTTTTTTTTTTTTTGTTGTTGTTGTTTTTCTCTAAAAAGCCCCTTGCTCTAAATGCTCGAAACTACTCTTGGGTCCCAAATACTTGAATGTAGTTCTAGCTGGCTGTAATAAAGACTTTCAGTTGGCTACAAAATATGTCTGAGTGGTCATCTCTGGTGGGGTCTCCATAACACTGGATTTGGAAGGATGGATGGAGGGGAAGATCTGCAGTTAGCCTACCTGCTTTCCTTCTGGCCAGAGCGGCCTGCAGGTCCCGGGGAAATGCCTCTTGGAATTAGGGGCAGTCGAGTTTGGAGCGGGAGGCAGGGTAGGAGGGGAAGATCTGTGTGAGCCACTGGAGATGGAGGGGGAGGGGAGGCTGCAGGAGGTGTTCTGCTACAGAGCTGGAGGTAAGTCTGGGGCACTGGATTTGGAGGAGAGGAGGCAGAGTGAAGACTAGGGTTAGGCTACTTGCTTCCGGGGTCAGAGTGGCCTGTGGGTTCTCAGAGTCCTGCTATAGTTGGGGGCTCGTATAAAGCAGTCAGCCGAGGGAGGGAGGTTAGGAGAGGAAGACCTGTATGATCTACTGGAGATGGGAGTGGGGGGGGGAGCTGGGGCAGGGATACAGAGATGGGGCTAAGTCTGGAGGCTGGATTTGGAGGAGCCTAGGGAGAGGTGAAGATCTGCAGTTAGACTACTTCTTCCCTGGCTGGAGTAGTCTTTCAGTCTTGACCACTTGCCTCCCTCCCGCCCGATGCTTCCTAGAATCTCAAATCCATTCCCTATTTCTCTGTATGTCTGTGTTGTGTATGCATGTGTGCACACATATGTGGGTACATGTGCCTGCTGGTAGAATGTGGAGGCTAGAGGTCATCAGTCATCAGTTGTCTCCCTTCATTGTTTTCTGTCTTGTTCTCTCCAGACAGGGACTGTCGATGAACCCAAGCTGGTCGTTTTGAGTACACTGGCTGGTCAGAGAGCTCCAAGGATCTGCCTGTCTCCACTTTTTCATGGGCTCTGGGAATTCCAACTCAGGCTCTCACACTTGTGCAGCAAGTGCTCTTACCCACTGAACCACCTCCCCGGACACTTCCTTGTTCTCCATTTCTAAGGGTTCACGTTAAAAATGTTAAGGGTAGAGCATGGTGTCACACCCTTTTAATCCTAGCACTTGGGAAGCAGATGGATTTGAGGCCAGCCTGGTCTACATAGAATCCCAGGGCAGCCAGAGCAACTTAGTGAGACCCTGACTTGAAAAAAAAGTTACTGAAATCATAGTTTTTCCATTCAGGTTGCCGTAACTGGGTGCTGAGAGCTGGGTAGGTTCAAGATGGAAGCGTTAAATCATTCTCTATAGGTAGATACCTAGTTTTGTCAGCACCATTTATTGAATATCTTTTCCCAGTTTTTTTCTCATGTGTGTGTGTTTGCACACATGCCACAGCACACACAAAGGTTAGAAGATAATTTACTATCCTGTGGATCCTAGGGATTGAATTAGGCCATCGGGCTTCACGACAGGCACCTGTCATCTGCTAAGCCATCTTGCCAGGCCCCAGTTACGTCTTTGATATCTTTGTTAAAAAACTAGATGTTTAAGCCAGGCAGTGGTGGCACACGCCTTTAATCTCAGCACTCCAGGGGCAGACAGATATCTGAGTTCAAGGCCAGCCTGGTCTACAGAGAAACCCTGTCTCAAAATACCAAAACTACCAGGTGATGGTGACGCATGCCTTTAATCACAGCACTCAGGAGGCAGCGGCAGGCAGATCTGAGTTTGAGGTCAGTCTGGTTTACAAAGTGAGTTCCAGGACAACCAGGGCTACACCGAGAAACCATGTCTCGACTCCCCTCACGAAACCTTAATTTCTCTTTTTTTTTGAGGGGGGTGATGGTGTTCCAAGATAGGGTTTCTCCATGGGTTTGGAGGCTGTCCTGGAATTAGCTCTTATAGACCAGGCTGGTCTCAAACTCACAGTGATCTGCCTGCCTCTGCCTCCTGAGTGCTGTGATTAAAAGCGTACACCACCATTGCCCTAATTTCTGATTCTGTTTTGTTCCCTTGGCCTGTTTTTGTGTCAACATGATGCTGTCTTTGTGGCATAGTTTGATATCGGTATTATGACACAGCTGGTAGTTTTTGTTTTGTTCTTTTTTTTTTTTGCTCAGGATTTCTTTGATTAGCTGTGGTCTTTAGTGTTTCCACATAAATTTGGTTGTTTTTCAGTTTTGTGAAGAATGTTAGTGTTTTTTTGCTGTATTACACTCCACCCTCCCGTTTCCTGAGGTCTGAGGAATTACACCCATCGGGCCAGCGCCTTTGGACCAGACCAGCAGGATGAAGAGCAAGATGCACTTCTAGTCAGGAATGGAAAGCTGGTACATCTTTTGGCTTACAGTCAGCTAGGCAGGACTCCAGACTTGAGAATATAGATCCTCTCCTACCCCTTCCTCCCATTAAGTAGAAAAGTAGACAGTGGCTGGGTCTATAGTAATTTTATTGTAACAGAGAAACCAGGCGGCAGTAAGTCTACATGATTAGAGCAGATGGCGGTTATCTTTCCAAAGGGCGGAGTCTGAGCCGGGCTGGCAGCATACAAACCCCAGAATATCTCCTGATCCTACGCTGCACTGTCTGACTCATGTGAGGAGACAGGCTGTGCAGCCAGGAGGAAGAGGTCCAGCTGGGCAGAGGCCCCATCCCAGTAGGAGCCAACCAATCACTGAAGGGGACACTGCTATGAAGTGCAGGTTCCCACTCTCCACGGCTCCTTGCTGAGAAAGGAGGCTCTGGCGTGAGCAGAAAACCATTCTTATGCAAGTCCTGACAGGATGAGGTTAATGGTCAATCAAGCAACGGGATGAAACTCTACAGAACAGTAATGACAAGAGGAGACAGCTGACCAGACACAACATCATTTACTGTCCTTGCTGAAGTGGCAACAGCAACAGATTCGTTGGTTTCTGTAAAGCGTAATTTCTGTAATGTGATCTGCTGACACAGTTGCTCCATACTGGGAGGACAAACACAAGGACGACTGCTGATGACAGAACTAGGTTTTTTTTCCTCTCACAACCTCTAAAATGAGTGGTCTCAGCTGGGCCCACAGGGGAACCCCTGATACCAACGGATGCTTCAGTAAAGCCTCTATTCCAACGCCATGGCTGGCAGGTTTTTGGTGGTGATTTTCTTGCATGTGTAAACTCTTTCAGAAAAGTGGGAGACGATAGGATGAGGGAGAGTTTGGTTTAGAGCCACCAAAGTTCCAGACACCAGCCGTGGAAGCCTCTGCCCTACCTCTTTCCCGAGGAACACGTTCATCGCTGGGCGTTATGCACTGTGGTTGGAAACACATCTACTCACCACCCCCCCAACCCCCCCTTCTCCCGCACGCGACTCTCATGAGAGCAGAGGCTGGAGGAAAGGTGGTCTCTGTTCCTTTGCACCCTGGTAATTACTTGGTGACCTGGTGAATGGCATGGGCAAGGTAGCCCACATTGCCAGAGGTGACCCCTGCCACGGAGATGCGGCCATCCTTCGTCATGTAGACTGAGAACTCCTTGATCAGCCGCTCCACCTGTAGAGAGAGAGGGAAGAAGCTGACAACTACTCCCAGTGGGAAAAATTTTCTTGCCTTGATGGCACACAACCAACTTGTTGAAACAAACAAACAAACAAATAGCAAAATCTTAACTTTCTCACTTAAAACTAGAATCTGGTGTGTTTAGAAAGAGTAAAAGAATGAAGACAGCTATTTTTAAAGTCGAATGATGGGGTCTGAGAGGGCTTGGCAGGTAAAGGTGCCTGCTACCAAGCCTGATGACCTGAGTTCTTTACCAGAACTTGTAGAGAAGGAGAGAACTGATTCCTGAAGGCTGTCCTCTGACCTACACACATGCCACAGTGTATGCGTGTGTACAGACAAGAAAAGTAAACATTAAAAAAATTAAAGTAAGATTATGATCTCCAAGGTGTAACAAGTAGGAAAAAAAACCAAACTAATCAGACTCAGAATTCAGTTATGTAGCAACCATTTCTCCTCTCCCTTCTGATGCACCAGCATGCAAATAAGCTATTACATACCATGTACAAAGTCCTGGGTTTGATCCCCAGCACCACAAAAAGCCAAAAAACAACCAACACCCCGCAAAAGTCTCCCTCCATCCCAAGCTACCACCACCAACAACAAGCAGGAAAAACAACAACAACAAAAAGCAAACAAAAAAAAATAAAAAAACCAAACAAAAATCACAAACCCCTCCCCCACAAGACATGTCCTTCAGAAGACATCATGGGGGATACAGACCAAACAAGCAAACAAACAAAACCCAAGTAATAACAGAGAAAACAAGGTCAGGGAGATGGCACACACCCCTAGTCAGTGACAATGACTGCAGTCCCAGGTACACATGCCACCTGTACCTAAATGGGCTCTAGATTAAGGAAACGAATTCGTAGGTGACCGCTGACAAATCCCGGTTTACCTTTAAAGGACAGGTCTACCGTCTACTGGTTGGTTGTGGAGAATGAGAGCCCACTCACCTGCTCAGGCTTTAGGCCAGTGAAACAAAACATGCCAATCTGGTCGGTGATGTGCTGCCAGTTGTGGGAGGACCCCTCTTTCTTCAGGTTGGAGACCAACTGTGTCCTCATGCTAATGATGCGGTCGGCCATGCCTTTCACTTCTTGCAACCTGTTAGGAAACAGACGGGCTTCTTGCTCGGGCCAAGCATTCTGCTTCACTTGAGTTCTACTCCTGAATGTCTTAATCCCAGTCCTTAACGGGGCCACAGTCAGTGGGGTGAACAACAATTTTAAGCTTTCTGGTTTTTATTACAAGTACTTTGTTTGGCAACCTCAGAAAAAATATGTGTAAGGGCATTTTGTCTGCAGTGCACACACGTGTGCTTGGTGCCACTGGAGGCCAGAAGACAGTGTTGGATTTCCTGGAGCAAGAGTTACAGGGGGTTGGGAGTCACCATGTAGATGCTGGGACTTGAACCCAGGTCCTCTAGCATTGCAGCCAATGCTCTTAACACCTACGACACCTTTCCAGCTCCAGATAGGTTAACTTTCATGGTTAACTACCTGAGTACCGTGGAAAGTTTAAGTATCATTTGAAAACGGAAAGACTAAGGTGTGGGTTAAACAGTAAAATGACCTTTTTTTTTGTTTTGAGACAGGGTTTCTCTGTGTAGCCTTGGCTGTCCTAGAACTCACTCTGTAGACCAGCCTGGCCTCAAACTCAGAGATCTGCCTGCCTCTGCCTATGGAGTGCTGGGATTAAAGGCTTGTGTCACTACTATTTTAAACAAGTAAACATTCTTGCCTTCAGAATGAAGACAATATACTATAAGCCCACATGGGCTATGCCATATAGTAGGCGCTGAGGACTGAGATGTGGTTATAGCCCTTAAAAGGTTACAATGAGGGTCAAAGGCCACACTTGTAAAAAAGCCAGTGGTGACACAACACAGCACAGTGTAACCCTGAACAGTGCTGGACTAAGAGGCACGCATGGAGAAAAGGGGCTGGGCGGTGGTGGCACAGCACTTGGGAGGCAGAGGCCGGTGGGTGTCTGTGAGTTCGAGGCCAGCCTGGTCTACAAAAGTACACAGAGAAATCCTGTCTTGGAGAAAAAATAAAGAAGAGTAAATAAAAAAGCAGGAAGAAGCAGATGACATTTGGCTTCACCACACACAGGCCAATCCGGGTGTCATCACACCGCAGGTCATTGCCAGCCTGCAAGCTTCACCACACCACAGGTCATTCCTGGCCAGAGCACAGCTACTTCTGGCCTTTGAGTGAGATCAGGTGTTTAACTTTTGGCAACAAGAGCCACCCAATTTTATTCACCTTAAGACCTGGGTCCCACAGGGACTAAGCATGTGACCTGTGTACCGTACATGCACTGCTCACTTAGCCAAACCCTGCCACTCCCCTCTTGCCAGAGAATAAAGTTCTGACTTCTCACAACATCAGGCAGGCGTTTCCTGATGGGCCATCTTCTCTAGCTCCCTGAACACTGCTTTGCTTTTTTTGCTTTTGAGGCAGGGTAGCGTGTAGTGCAGCCTCAATTCACTTTGTAGCCAAGGTTGGTCTTTCCTGGGACTGGGGTTATGAATGGTTTTGAATTACTACATGGGTGTTGGGAATTGAACCTAGGTCCTATGCAAGAGCAGTTAAGGGCTCTTAACTGCTAAGCCAGCTCTCTAGTCCAAAATAAATAAGTCTTTTAAAGATTATTTTAAGAGGCAGGTGGATCTACAGGCAGGTGGTTCGAGGCCAGCCTGGTCTACAAGAGCTAGTTCCAGGACAGCCTCCAAAGCCACAGAGAAACCCTGTCTCGAAAAACCAAAAAAAAAAAAAAAAAAAAAAGATTATTTTAAAAGATTAATGTTAGAGACTAGGTATTGAGAATAAATACAGATAACAACACCCTAAGTACACAGAAACAATGACTCAGTGTTAGCCAGCGAGAATAGTAGGCTGGGGATATAGCACAGTGGAGGGCTTGCCTATGGCATGGAACCCCGGTCTGACCCCCAGCACCACAAACAAAAGCATCTGTTAGAGTTTTCCTATACCAGGTACTTCCATTGAACTTGATTTTACGGGGAGGCAGGCTTTACTAAAAGCAGAGATTACAGAATAAAAGAGGCTGGCTGCGGTTTCTGAATCCATGGGGAACTAACAAACTTAGTTGTGCCAACAGAATGCACACCCCACTTCTTCATCTTCCATACGTGGAACTGTAACGTATCTATCGGATAGCACAGAACAGCAAGGAATCATTACCATTGCTTTCTCAAGTCCGGGGAGGTCAGGATGGTTGCTGCAATCCGGGCACCGTTGAGAGGTGGGTTGGAATACATGGGGCGGATCAGGATCTTCAGTTGTGACTCCACTCTTTTGGCTTCATCAGCATCTTTGCAGACCATGGTGAAGGCTCCCACTCGCTCACCTGGAAACACAGTGGATACTGTCTTCTAGGACACTCAGACAAGCAGTGAGGAAATTTGCTACATGGTATCTGTTTTGTCAGAAGAACCACAACAGTAATTTATGTTTGTGACAGAGTATCACTTTGTATCCCAGGCTTGTAGACAGGTGCTTCACCTGTCTCAGCCTCCAGAGTGATGGGATTACAGGTATGAGCTATCACATTCAACCTAATAGTTTCTTAATAGAAATAGTCTTTACTAGTCAGAATGGTGAATTGTGAATTGAGGCACAACACAATGCCTCAATTCAGAGTCTCTTTTCAAATTCTTTGTGTGTGAGATAGGGTTTCTGTGTAGCCCTGGCCGTCCTGAAACTTGATCTATAGCCAGGCTGGCTTCAAACTCACATATGCTCCTGCCTTTGCCTCCCAAGTACTGGGATTAAAGGTGTGTGCCACCATGCCTGACATTATCAATTTTTTAAAAAAACTATTCTTTTCTGGAGTTGGAGTGGTGTGCCACTGTGCACGTCTGAAAGTCAGAGACTATTGGGGGCCCACAGAAATGGCTCCACTTTATCTTGACGTAAGGTCAGAGAGTTCAAATCCACTCTGGCTCTCTCAAGGATAAACAACAGAATGTTTGGCCTAAGAAGTAACCAGTGGATGTCTTCTTGGACAACAGGATATTTAGCCTAGGGTGTGGCTATTGTTTGTCTCACCTTGACAACAGGATACCTAGTTTAGGGTGTGGTTACTTGATGTTTTGGGTACTGAGAAGGTAATTACACTTGCTTGTTCTTTGTATCTTGGCAAGGAGGTCTCTTTGCCTTCCCCACTTTTGATTGGGGTATATAAAGACTGTGTGTAATAAACTTGGGGATTTCCCTCCAGTATTCATTGGAGTGCCCTTCAGACTCGATCTTGTGTCTCTGTCTTTAATAGCTATAATTTTTCTACCTGCCATTTCTTAATCCACACCCCTCCTCTCAGGTGTGAACATGGGTAATGACTAGAGGGTGATTTGTAGGAGGAGTTAGTTCTTCAACCGCATGGGTTGAACTCCAGTCATCAGACTTGGTGGCAAGCACCTTAACCTGCTGAGCCATATTGCTGGTCCAGGACCTCTTGGCTCCTGTATCAGTTACTCTGCATACAGAAATAATCAGTTGTTCTCTCCTGCCTCATCTTTTTTGCTATAGGAATTTAAGGACACGGAAGATATGGATAAGAAAACCTATAGTATACTTTTTCTGTCTTAGGAAGCCTACATATAACCAGCACACTAATGTGCACGTGAAAACATACATACACACACCCATCCAGGGACTACCTTGTCCCTCTAAGTTTTCTGCTTTGTGGTGTTCTCCCCAAGCTCTCCTTTGAGTTCATCAGAACACACCTTACACTGGGTCCTCTAGCTTACCATATAGGCCCATGTTCTTGGCATATGATTGGCAGACACAAACATTAATGCCCTGCTCAATGAAGTAGCGCACAGCCCAGGCGTCCTTGTCACCATCACCACTGGCAAAGCCTTGGTAGGCCATATCAAAGAATGCGAAGAGATTCTTTTTCTGGGAAGGAACAAGAAGAGCAGAGTTTGAGATAACGCAGATGCCGTTATTACATGTGCTGTCATGGACCACATTTATTCACCCAAACACAGTCAATGGTTTCTCCACACATGACAGTAGGAAGTGTCTGAATTCCAGAGTTAATTTGCTCCTTCTGTGTCTCATTCTATTGGAAGCTGAGATTTGATAGACGTGATAAGAATGGGGGCAGAGGATGACAGGGATATTTTAGCTCTTCTAAAAGATAATGCTAAGCAAAGCAGCAAGAAAAGGAGGGGACATGAAGATGTGCTTAAAAGGATGAGCAAGCAGCCACCAGCCAGCACAGATGGAGGCGCCACCAGCAGGTCTCTTGGATCAGAACTGCTGTTGTGCCAAAGGCAAATGTTAGACAGTTTTATCAAAATTCACTACATCTAGGCGGAAGGACGAAAACTATTTTCAAACTGTTCACATATCATCTATTATGAAACTGCTAATTTTGCAAAGGAGGAACCCCTTCCTGGCAGCTTATGCTTGTGTAGGTTTTGGGCAGACTCAGGGTGAAGCAACGAGTTACTGACATTTCATCCTGCTCACCTTCACCACTGCCGCGATTTCCTTCCACTGCTCTGGACGCGGGTCCACGCCCGTGGGGTTGTGAGCACAGGCATGCAGGAGAAGAACACTCTGCTCTGGGATTTTCTAAGGAGAAACAATCAAGATTTTGATGTATAGCTTTAAAGGAAATAGCTGACGTGCTACAGGTCACTGTTAGCTCAGAAGTGACAGAGACCTGGGACACTGGATGTCCAACCTGGAAAGTCACACTTACTGAAATGTCTTCTACGGCTCCTGAGAAGTCAAATCCGCAAGTCTTGGGGTCATAGTATCGATACCCTTGTAGCTGCATACCAGCATCCCTGAAGATGGGCGTGTGATTTCCCCAGGATGGTTTGGGCAGATAGACATCTCGGCTGAACTTAAAAAATCTTTGCTGAAAGATGGGATGAAAGGGAATGAAGAAGGAGGACAAAGGGAGAGGATAAGATGCTACTGTTTCTGACACAGTTTCTTCCTCCTGACAGGAGTAAGACGGCCTGCGATGGGAGCCAGGCTCTGACGGTTATTCTGACTACGAGGTGAAACACCTGTGCAGGCCTCACTAACTGAACGTCCTATACAGGGATTGTGGTGACTAGTCTTATGTCAACTTGATGCACAAACTAGCGTTATCTGAAAGGAGGGAACCTTAATTGAGAGGACTCCATAAGATCCAGCTCGTTGTGAGTTGTTCCAGCCCTGGGCTAGTGGTCCATAAGAAGGCAGGCTGAGCAAGCATGGGAAGCAAGCCAGTAAGCAGCATCCTTCACGGCTTCTGCATCAGCTCCTGCCTCCAGAATCCTACCCTGTTTGAGTTCTTGTCTCGGCTGCCTTAAAAAATGAATAGTAACACAGAAGTGTAAGCCAAATAAACCCGTTTCTCCTCAACTTGCATTTAAGTCATTTTTAAAAAAGATTTATTTATTATGTATACAGTGTTGTCTGCATATATGCCTGCATGCCAGAGAGGGCACAAGATCTCATTACCATGTGGTCACTGGAATTGAACTCAGGACCTCTGGAAGAGCTGCTAGTGCTTTTAGCCAATTTCTCCAGTCCTAGTCATGGTGTTTTTGATGCAGCAATAGAAACCCTAACTAAGAAAGGGGCTAAGTAAATTAAAGCACACATTCCTTACTAACGCTACATGCTGTGATGGGCATATTGGTTCATGTTTTTAATCCAGAATTCGGGAGCCAGAGGCAGGTGGGTCTCTGTCAGTTTAAAATCAGTCTGGTATACAGAGTGAGTTCTAGGACAGCCACAAAGACATAGTCAAACACTGCTTCAAAAAGAATAAAAAAACCATAACCAAACCAACAACCAATCCCCCACCTATATGGTCAGTTCGCTAACTCATCACTTCATTCCTTATAATTTCTTCACAGTACTTTCTTTTACTTCACCAGAGAACAGGAAACCTGCCAGCTCTGTGGAAAGAGGAAGCCTGATCGGGTGAATAGCCATGCAGAGGACAGGAAGTATATAAACCTTAATTTAATGCTCTTTCTTGAAGGAGTTTCACTCACCAGAAAACTGGCTCCGATCCTTAAGGCTCCAGTCCCGGAAATGGTCTGCACAGTGACAAACTGCAGGGGAGACATGGAGTCAGTCGCTCTACCCTTTGCCCTGTAGAACTGGATTCTTGTAGCTGTTCCCTTGTTTATTTTTACAGGAATACTTATTTATTTTCTCTATATGAATATCCTTTTTTGTTGCCCCCACCCTCTATATGAATATCTTGTCTGCATTTTTGTATGTGCACCAGGCTCACACCAGGTGCCCTGGGAAGTTAGGAGGCATGGGATCCCGCAGAACTCAGGATCTGGAGTCACAAGTGGCCGTGAGCTGTCGCATGGGTGCTGGGATTAAACCCAGGCTCTCTAGTACTCTAACCACTGAGCCATAGGTCCGGCTTCATTAGCTGTCTACACTGTGTGTGGGGTGGGGATGTGCATGTGCCATGGCGGGGACGCACAGACAGAAGACAGCCCTTTGGGGCCGGTTCTTTCCTTCAGCCTTAATGTGGGTTCTGGAGATTGAACTCAAGCCATCAGGCCTGTGCGGCAGGCACTTTATCTGCTAAGCCATCTTGTCGACCCCTTAGAAGTGAATTCTGAATGGCTTTGCTAGAGCCATCCATGATACATGGAAAATTTTGGGTTGTAGAAATTCTTCAATATGCCAAAGGAGTGATTTATCCACACACAAAAAGTCACTATATTCAGACATAATTTTAGAAATATGTAAAACCAACAACCTCTGACCAAGGTTCTTTAAACAATGATAGTCAACAAGTCCATTAAGACAGTGTTAGTCTAATTTATTTGTTTTTTTTCCCCTGTGGTGCTTTTGAATTGACAGGACAGCATTCTACCAGTGAGCTATTAATATACACTAGCCTCTATTTTTTTTTACATCTTAGGCTTAGGCAGGAAAATAAATATCCAAGTGTATTCATTAAGCCGCATTTTCTTTTTTCTTACAAAAGAAAGTAAGCCAGTCTGCACATGCATCTTTTAGGGTCATGGTCTTTTCTTTGTCCATGCCACACCTGTCTCCTGCCCAGCCCCCAGTCTACTAATGGCTGCTTCCCTGTTGCTTCTGCCCAAGCCGGAAGCTTAACAATGCATTTGGGGACTAATTATAGGCCTAAAACTAGGCACAGAGAGGCATCTCTAATGCATATTCAATATAAACAGATGAAACTCATCGGCACCAACAGCAAACTGGGCCAAAGCTATCAAATTCTATCCAGTTTTCCAGATAACTGATACAGGTAAACTTCCTATCTAGAAAGTAGTTATTTGCTGGGCAGTGGTGGCACACGCCTTTAATCTCAGCACTCGGGAGGCAGAGGCTGGTGGATCTCTGTGAGTTTGAGACCACCCTGGTCTACAAGAGCTAATTCCAGGACAGCCTCCAAAGCCACAGAGAAACCCTGTCTCGAAAAACAAAAAAACAAAAGAAAGTAGTTATTAGTAAGTGTGGCCGCCTCAGTCATTACACACATGTAAACTGCGCTAACATTTCTTAGTGTTTACACCACTGGGTATGGACGTAGGCTGCAGGAAGCTCAGGCCTGCCCGGCTCACCCGGCCACTTTTCAGCACTTCGTTGTTCTCTCCCAGGGCCAGTTCTGCAGAAGCCTTGCAGAATTCCGCCAGCCCCCCGATGGGCAGGTATTCTTTGTCCAAATTCTTTGCAGCAATCTGGGCCTCTGCCTAAAGAAGAGAAAATAAGTTTTAGTTTCTCGTCCGTTCTTCAACCTACCGTGATGACAATAAGTGTCTTATGAGGTAAATGTCAGAAGCAAATCCACCCACACCCCAAACCCACACTTTGAGTTGTCTGTTTGGGCAGAATATGAACTCCTGGGTCTTTGGTGATCTTTCTGCTCAGCTGGGACTGGCCACTTGTCAGACCATATAATTCATTTAAAGTTACTGTTTAAGAAGATAAAGTGAAATATCTGGTATTTTGTGTCACAGAATAGAAATGCTTTCTAATATATATATATTAAGAAATAAGCCAGGCAGTGGTGGTCCAGGCCTTTAACCCCATCACTCAGGAGGCAGAGGCAGGCAAATCTCACTGAGTTCGAGGTCAGTCTGGTCTACAAAGTTGAGTTTCCAGGACAGCCAGGAATGTTACACAGAGAAGCCCTGTCTCGGAAAACAATTCTACTATTTATTTATTTATTTATTTATTTATTTATTTATTTATTTATTTATAGATCGGTTCCTTATATGGGCCAGGGTGGTGGTTTGGATAAGAACGCCCCGTAGGCTCTGTTGGAACACTTGGTCCCAGCCAGTAGAACTGTTGGAAGTATAAGGCGCGGCCTTGCTGGAGGAGGTGTGTCACTGGAGGCAGGCTCTGCCATGCTTCGTGGGCCTCTCTTGGCCTCTTCCTTGCAGAGAAAGACGTGAGCTCTCAGGAGTTCCTCCACCATGACCTTGCTCTGCAGTCATGGACTTACCCTCCGATCCGTAGCTCAATTAAACACTTTCTTTTATGATTTGCCTTGGTCATGGTGTTTTGTTACAGCACCAGAAAAGTAGCTAAGGCACCCAGGTTGGCTTGGAACCTGCTGTTTTCTTGTCCCAGCCTCCCAAGTGTTGAAATGTTAAAAGACTGTTTTGTTTTGTGATGGGGTATCTCTATGTAGTCCTGGGTATCCTGGAGCTTGCTACATAGAACAGGCTGGTCTTGAACTAAAGAGATCTGCTTGCTTGACTCCTGAGGGCTAGGACTAAAGATATGTGCCATTATCCTGGCTGAAAGAAAGTTATTGTGGTAATTGGCCCCCATACGCTCATAGGGAGTGGCACTTTAGGGGGTGTGGCTTTGTTGGAGTGGGTGTGGTCTTGTTGGAGGCAGTGTGTCACTGTGGGGGTGTGCTTTGAGGTCTCCTATGCTCAAGCTATGCCCAGGGACACAGTTTATTTCCTGTTGCCCGAGGATCAAGATGTTGAACTCTCAGCTCCTTCTCCAGCACCATGTCTGCCTGCACAGGGCCATGTTTCCTGCCATGATGATAATGAATTAAACTTCCAAAACTGTAAGCCAGCTCCAACTAAATATCTTCCTTCATAAGAGTTGTCATGGTCATGGTGTTTCTTCACAGAAACAGAAATCCTAAGACAGGTATAGTCTTTCTTGGTAACCACTTAACACAAGAGGGCTCTCTTGAAATGCATAATAAAACTTATATGAGCAACATATTAGGCATACAAGTGATGACAAAATCAAAGTGAATGTATAAAAGGAATGCATTTCAGGATATATGACAGTCTAAGAACTTTCACTGTCTGTGTGACCGTGGGTAAGATATTCACCCTTCCCAAGTCATTGGAAGTTTTGGAGAACTGTTGATGAGATAACGAACAACAGTGTTGGGTTTTGGTCCAGCCTGCAACAATAGTTTATCAGTCACTGAATACATTTTTAGGATTTTCCTTGTGATGTTGGGCACCAAACACAGAACCTTTTGCAAGCCAGCAAACACTCTACCACATCTAGTATCCCAAGCCTTGAATAACTTTAAAACTAATGGAAACATTACTCATAAAAATGTAACAAAAGGAGAGAATGAAAGAAGTTATATAGTTGGGCAGAAAGGGTGTACAGCACGTGCCTCTGTACAGGGATTTCTCCACAGCAATCAAGATGAGAAAAATGGGGCTGGAGAGATGGCTCAGAGGCTAAGAGCACTGACTGCTCTTCCAGAGGTCCTGAGTTCAATTCCCAGCAACCACACGGTGGCTCACAACCATCTGCAATTCAATCTGGTGCCCTCTTCTGGCATGTAGGCAGAACACTGTATATGTAATGAATACATAAATAAATCTTAAAAGAAAAAAAAAAAGACGAGAAAATGGAAAATAACAATGGTAGCTTCACCCACAGCTGGCTACTCCTCTTGTAACCCCTCAGGATTAGGCACCATGCCTGATTTTTGATCTTGGAGAAGACCGTGTGGCTATGATCTACTTTCACAGCTAAGAAAGATCATAGTCTAGAAAACCTAGGTGATTCACAAAGTCAGTGCTAGAACCAGATCTTGGAGCCCCTGAGAATGGGCCAGCATGCCTTTGTTCCTTTTGGATCCCTTCAGGTTCCACACCCTGTGGCAACAGGACAGGTGCCAAGCTCACCTTCCGGACACTGGGGAGCACATAAGGCTTCCCATTATCATCTCGGTAGGCACCAACTCCCAGGTTCATCTTTTTGCTGTTGGTGTCTCTCTTGAAGGCTTCAGTAACTCCCAGGATGGGATCCGGGGGTCCCATTTCTACATGGGTCCACCAGGAGCTGAAATGAGAAATATTTTATGTCAGCCACATGAGCTAGATTCCTATGGCCAGATATGTCTCCAATCTGCCAAAGATCCATTTTGGCACGTGTTACACAGAGGTAACAGATACTGATCCAATAGAGATCAGTATCTTTAACATAGATATGGCAAGGCACAGAAAGGGAGCACCCAAGTTATTTTGGGTAGAATAGGGTACGTGCACAGATTTAAAAGAAAAATTTCCTTCAACTGATTAATGAATAATGAAATCATGAAATTACAGGCAAACAGGCAGAACTAGAAAATATTGTATTATAAATGGAGTAACCCAGACCAAGAGACACAAATGTCACCTGTTCTCTCATCTGTAATTCCTACTTTGGAATCTTTTTTCTTTTTTGGGGGGGGGTTTCAGGGCTAGGGTATCTCTGTGTAGCTTTGGAGCCTCTCCTGGCACTTGTTCTGTAGACCAGGCTGGCCTTGAATTCATGGAGATCCACCTGCCTGTTTCCTAAATGCTGGGATTGAAGGTGTGCACCACCACTGCCTGGTCTAGTTTGAATCATTAGATGTGTGTGTGTGACCTTGAGTCACCATATAAACCAGAGAAGACAAAAGGGACCATGTAGGCAAAGGAGAGAAGATACTTTAGGGAGGGGGATGGGACACAGGCGCTATGAAAGGGGAAAATGAGGATTTAACTGGAAGTGGAGAAGGAAGGGGGATAAATAACACCAAGAATGTTTTAACATTTCTACACACACACACACACACAGAGAATGAATGAATGAATGAATGAGGAGTGAATATAAAGGTATGCCACTTGGGTGACAATGTTGTTCAAAGGAGTCTAAGAGACTCCCAAAATGATATGGCTACTGCTGCTGTCCTTGGTTGCTTCCCAGAAATTGAAGGGAAGGACCTATTGTTGAAAATACCACGTCAGGCATAGGGCCTGGAGAAATGGATGTGGAACTGATCTGGAAGCTTCCTCCTGGGAACCAGCTCTCAAAGTATCCTAAAATGCTATGTAAGCTGCCAAGGGACAGGAGCAATCCTACTACAGTCTTACCCAGTGGTAAAACCTACAAACCACAACAATGGCCACCATGACAAGATAGTTCCAAGAATGCAATATGGCACTGTACCTTGGGGCAATCAACATCTGTCCAGTTAACAGGAGGGAATTCATGCCCGGTACTATAAATCTAGCTAACTTTCTGTGACGTGTAAGGTCAAGGACCCTAGAGGAGAACTTACTACTATCACTTTCAGTATACTTTTTTTTTTTTTTTGGTTTTTATGAGACAGGGTTTCTCTGTATTGTTTTGGAGACTATCGGTCCAGCCCGACCTCGAACTCACAGAGATCCGCCTGCCTCTGCCTCCCGAGTGCTGGGATTAAAGGCGTGCGCCACTACCGCCCGGCATCAGTATACTTTTTAACTGTGTTCTAAATATTTATCCTTATGCCCACAGCTAAGTGGCTTACATCTCTTCATTAGACTTGGAGCCAGCAAGTTCCAGCAATCCTTCAGTCTGCATGCTCCTGAAAAGTAGGGCTACAGATGTGTGCAGGATGGCCAGCTAGGTTGGTGCTGGGATTAGAATTCCTTTCCTAATGATTGTAGCACAGCACGCAACACCGACGTCTCTTCAGCCTGACTCCACTTTATTTGGAGACAGGGTTTCTTGCTAGAGCTTACCATTTTGGCTGGACTAGCTGGCTTGTGACTCCCAGGTTCTACCTGTCTCTGCACACACCCCACGGTTACAGACTTCTACAGCTGTGTCCAACTTTTACATGGGTGTTAGTGATCAGAACTCAGGTTCTCCCTTTTTTTGTCCCCAGGTTTTTTCGAGACAGGATTTCTCTGTAGGTTTGGAGACTGTCCTGGAACTCTCTTTGAGGACCAGACTGGCCTCGAACTCAGAGTGCTGAGATTAAAGGCGTGTGCTACCACCCAGAACTCAGGTTCTCATGCTTGCGCGCAAAGGACTTCCCACTGAACCGTTTCCTTAGCAGTCATCCACTGATGCCCACTAGAGTCACCGGAGCCAGGTGACTCTATTGCTGGCGCAGTGCCTTCACCTTTCCTGGCTTCTTGATAAATCATAAGATGCAACATAAAACTCAATACCCATTTCTCAGCTTTCTTATATATCCTCTTTTAATTTGGTTTAGTTCACATGTGGCCAAAGGCTAGCGGCCGCAATCAGTGACTTAGTTGGTTTTATGTGCTAAGTATTCTGCAGAGTTCTACGGAAGGACGGCAGAAGCCTACTGTGTATTAGGTAAGAGCTGACAGTCTCTCATGTGCGTGGATATACCCGGGGGTGCCGTTGGGGGTGGGAGGGAGGGAGGGAGAGGGAGGGACAGAACAAGCCCACCACTATGTCTGGCTTGTGTAGTTGCTGGGGCTTTGTGCACAACAGGCAGGCCAGCTGAGCAACATGCCCAGCTCCTTGGTTTGTTTAAAACCTGTGCTTCTGTCAATTTGGAGCTTACACTAGGATTTCTGCAGCTTAAACAAACAAAGCTCACCATGTGTCAATAATGTAGAAAGACTAAGGCCCTAACTGACACGTGTTCCACCTCGCCACAGCACGGATGGACTAGATTACAACATCCTCAGATAACAGGCTTTTGGTGTTTATACTTCTCGGTACCCATAGCAATCAAACCCCATTTCTACTACTTTGAATGTGCTGCTTTAAAATTTGTTTTTCAGCTTGTTTCATCCTCAACCAGTGTGAGTTTAGTAAAAAACAAATGCGGTATTAGATAATACTTAATACAAGTACTAAAGGTGTAGCTGTTTTGAGTAAAAATTTAATTACTGTTACTTACCAAAGACTTAGTTACATAAACTCAAATTCCTAAAGTGTCTCTAAGGTCATTTAAGAATGGGGTAGGACATGAGAAGAACTGAAGCAGGAGAGGGAATGCTGAAGTGATGTAAATCAGGGTGCCCGTGTGTGACACTCTTAAGAAACTAAAAGAAAAACAATGATGAAGGTTTAGCAAAAATCAAATCTATATTAGGTTACACGAATTATTATTTGGGAAAACTTTAATTTCAATAGTAATTATTTATCTCTATTCTCATGAATATATTTTACCTCTTAGGTGTCTCTCTTGGCTGTGGCAGTTTTAGCTTCCTTGTTTTTTAATGACTTTGATGCTTTTGGTGAGTTCTAGCCCAATACACACCAGATTAATTAATTAATTAATTTTTTTGGTTTTTCAAGACAGGGTTTCTCTGTGGCTTTGGAGGCTGTCCTGGAACTCACTTGATAGTCCAGGCTGGTCTCGAACTCACAGAGATCCGCCTGCCTCTGCCTCCCGAGTGCTGGGATTAAAGGTGTGTGTCACCAACGCCCGGCTCACATTAATTTAAGTTAAAAGAACTAGCTAGAAATGAACTAAGGTAGGGCCAAAAGAAAAAGCCTGCTACAGGTCAGGCCCCTCCCTTTTGAGGTTTTCTCATGATCAGGTTCTAGGAACAATTATATTTCAATATGTCATTGAGGACCATTTCTAATAACCTTTATATGCTCAATGTGTTACTTAATGGATTGGTCACGTGGTGACTGGGCAGACACTGATTTCTAAGTATATTTTCAAGTTTATATACTTCTGCCTCTTCTGACACGCTCTAGGGGGAGCAGAGCTATAGTCATGGTAGAGACATGCTTTCTGCCACCACTTTAACAGGATAAAGGGCACATGTGCTAAACTTTGTCAAGAGCTTTCTTGTTTCAGATGCCTGCATGGGGAAAAACTCACATCACTAGAAACACAAGTTCAAAAACGAGCAGCAAGTGGTCGAGACCATATTGCACCACAAAAAATACAACTGTTTTTTTTTCTTCAAGGGGGAAAAAAAAAGGTAGTTTGCCCTGAACTTACTTTCCAGATTCTTTTGTACTCTTACAACTTTCAGGAATCCACAGAACTTTTGCTACTTTTTCTCCCTCACACAAACAGCACAAGAGGATGGCAGCCTCCCTCATGCAAATTGCAGTCCCTGAGTCAGCCTTAGTCCTCTCCTCACACCGGGACACAGAGGGCCGTGGAGACTTCTGGAACCACAGGTGCAGATGCGGCTTCCGCCTTTGGCAGGAAGAGTCAGTCCACTTGGCACTGTGCTTCCTTCTGTCCCTCTCACTATGTAGCTCAGGGTGGCCTGCAACTGTTAGGCCACTTGCCCACTATCTGACTGCCGGGATCACTGTCTGGCTATAAATACAGTTCCTGAGCTTGCGGTGGGTGGTGTAGGCCAGTTGACTGGCTAGCTGAAGCTCCTCACAGAGCTCCTGCCTATGTGGGCTGGAACTATTAGCATTGACTGTGTTGGAAACCAAAACTGAGAAATTTGTAAGCTATTACTCATGTGAAAACAGGAATCATAGAAACCATGCGGTGGTGGTGCACACCTTTAATTCCAGCACAGACAGAGGCAGGTGGGTCTCTGTGAGTTCAAGGCCAGCCTGGTCTATAGATCGAGTTCCAGGATAGCTAAAGCTACACAGAAAAATCCTATCTCCAAAAAACAAAACAAAACCCCACAAACCCCACAAACAAAACCAAAACAAAGGAAGAAAGAATCCCACGAACATTGCCATTGCTATGAACAGTTTTGATCTGCCAGGTAGGTGTGCATGCTTGTAATCCCAGATCCTGAGTAATATCTGCGTGCTTCAAATATGAAAGGATGTTTGAGGACAAACTCAGATGGTGAATCTTCTTTCAATCTCTCTCTTTCCTCCCTTCTTTTTGGTTTTACAGTCTCCTATGACAGTGAAGTTTTCATCTCCAGTGACTATCTCTGCATTTTGAAAGCAGCAGGTTGAACCCTCACTGAATCGCTACAACAGCCGCAGAGAGACTACAGTACGGGACATTCCTTATGCCCCTGGAGACAGCTTGCACAGCTCAGGGTGTGGCTGCATAGCTGGAGTCCCTGTTTCCTTCAAGACAAAGTTCCACATCTGCAAGAGCTCCAGGGGTGACAGTGCAGTGTCAGTGTTGACGTGTGTTTTCACGTCATCACCTTGCTGTCGCCAGAGCAGCCTTGCTTCTTCCTAACACTCTTCTGGGCAGGAGCCACCCTGCCAGGCCCAGGATGGAAAGCAAGTATCTGAGAGAATGTGGGAGAAGACAAGTTGTGGCCCCAGTTATAACTGAAAAGAAGCTATGAAGCGTCATCAAGTTTAAGGTTTGTTCAATCAAGATGAGCTAGTGCCCCTGGTGAGGCGATAACGTGTGTGTGTGTGTGTGTGTGTGTGTGTGTGTGTGTGAACTCAGAGATCTGCTTGCCTCTTACTGCTGGGATTAAAGATGTGGGCCACCAGGCCTGGCTATATAAACAAAGTCTTTAAAGCAGTGGTTCTCAGTCCGCCTAAGCTATAACCTTTAACACAGTTCCTCATGTTGTAGTGATCATTACTACTTCATGGTTGTAATTTTGCTACTGTTCTGAACAGTAATATAAATATCCCATATGCAACTCCCAAAGGGGTCCTGACCCACAGGTTGAGAGCCACTGCTTTAAGGTGTCCTAAATTGATGATTATAAACTTGCTGTGTGCTACTGTGCTAGGGAGCTAGGACTGTAAAGAGTAAACCATTAATCCCTTCCCACCAGATTAGCTGTGGGGGTGACCAGCAGGGAGGCACCAACAGTGTCGCCTGGCTGTGATTCAGTAATGATTTAGGTCCAGGGAACTGAGTATGCTTTGGGGGGAACCCAGAAAAAGTCAACCAACCTCCTGGAAGGAACGCAGAGGGTTACGGGGGCTTCCGGGAGGAAGGGACCTATGAGCTGAGTGCTATTGGGGGAGAGGGGCAGGAGGAAGAGTGTGTGCGACACAGGCTTCAGAGGGTGTGGAAGCTTGCAGAAATTGGAAGTTCCGGAAGCCAGACTCCAGGTGACTTAGGTGGAGTTCTCAGTTCTTTCTGTAATCATTCATCTCGTCTCTGCCAAATGCTTCAGCGGGCACAGTGAATTATTCATTAGGATTTCCTTCTTAGCAATGTCCCACCGAGCCTGCGGCCGGTTAGTACTCACCAGCCAGCCTCAGGCTCCATGAGTAATGGGGTTGGTAGGCTCAGGAGAACTCAGCCTTCATAGCTGTGCTTGGTGGGCTGCTAATTCTGTTATTTAAGAGCAGAGTTTTCAGGGGTGTGGGGAGGGGGGGTCGGTGGTGAGTATGGGAGGGAGAGGGAACTGGGCTTGATATATAAAATAAGATTGTTTCTAAATTAAATAAAAATAATAAAAAAGAAAGAGCAGAGTTTTCTGGCTTGGGGTCGCCCAGGGTTTTACTTCTTTCAAAGGTCTCTTTTTAACAGCCTGTCCTGGGTAAGCTGCAGGGACTCAAACAGATTACCATCTAAGAACTGTGTGAGCAGAGGCAAGAGAATGAAGAGAAATGAATCCAAATCTCACTAGTCCGCATCTGCTCAATGGGTGTAACCACAGCTATTTCACAGGGCTGGTGTAAGAATGAAAACACACTCAGAAGAGCAAGGCAGACTGAAGACCTGATGTCTGTTAATTGGCATTGGTTCCTATGTCATTGTCATTTGTCACCATTCAGCTACTGGTCTGGAGCCCTGCAAGACCAATATGTAGGGACTTAAAACAGCATAAGGTCATAGGAATTTATGGTCAAATGCATGCCTTTCTGGCTTTAAAATTACTGTTGTTATTATTATTTTACATTCTCACGTGCCATTATCATCTTTTCCCATCCTTAGCTCTAGGTCAGGAATGAAACTCTTCTCTGTCCTCTTTTTAACTGTGAGGAAGAAATACAAACTTTGAAACAACTCGAACAGGTTTTGGTTGTCTCTCTTGTCCAGCTCAGACAGAAGCCACACAGCCACCTGCCTGTCGGCATCACTGTCATTAACTGCCCAGTGAAATGAATACTGTGCATGTCAAGGACACTCAAACCTCCAGAAAGCAACTTTCACTTTTACAAAGGGTCCTTAAACAGTGACAGGGTTGCCCCTAATCACAAAGACAGATGTATTGTTCTTGTTTAATAATGTCAACAACACTTACATAAAATATGTAGCATATAAATTCTCTAGAAGCCCCAGTCATGAAGTCTCACATACTTCTTAAAAAGAATGCTCCAAACGATTTCCAAACACTGAATTTTAAGCATTCTAAGAGCAGGAGCAGTGATCCTTTGATTAGCTACGAGTGATCAAACTCCAGGTTCTCTATGTCCCTCATTATCCCACGCCTTATAACTGTGACGATTACAGACACAAGGGAGCTCTCATAACTGTAGAGTAATGGCATTAGATGAAAACAAGAACGCTCTGGGGGTAAACTAATAACCTGTGGCCTGCAAAGTGATTCCTACCGATGCCCTTTGTACAGAAGCGCAGGGCCACAGACATTGAGCAACAGTGACCACCCAACCAAAAGATGCTAGGTACAAAGTATTCAGATAAGCATTTCCAGCTCAAATGCTCTGTATTTCCCAAGGCTTAAACAGCTTCTGAAAACCTTTCCCTCAGTCACATTTACTTAGTCTCACAGTGTAGCACAGGTTGGCCTGGAACTCACTTTGTGAGGAGAATGGCCTCAAATTCAGGGCACTTTCCCTGCCTCAGACTCCTAATATTTTGGTTTTGGTACATATTCTGCAGCACTACGGATCCCTTTATGTGTAGATTTTGATCTAAAAATGCAAACCATTAAAATGCTGCATTCGTTCACAAACGAAGGCTTGGAATAAAAATATGCAAAGTGAAAGGCATTCCATAGGCCAGGCATACATCTCAGTGGCAGAGTACTTGCCTAGTAAGAACAGAGGTTCTGGGCTGGAGAGATGGCTCAGAGGTTAAGAGTGCTGACTGCCCTTCCAGAGGTCATGAGTTCAATTCCCAGCAACCACATGGTGTTCTCTTCTGGCATGCAGACATACACGGAGACAGGATGTTGTGTTCATAATAAATAAATAAATATTTAAAAAAAAGAGCAGAGGTTCTATCCCCAGTGGGGGAAGGGAGGAGGAAGCTGGGTGTACTAACACTGGGAAGGTACAGCAACACCACTGCAGCATGTTCCAGGCCAGCCTGGTGTCCATAGTAAGTTTCTGGCTAGCCAGGGCTATATAGAAACTCCATCTCAAACTACAAAAAACAGACAAATGAAAACCATGCTGAAGCTGGGTGTTGGTGGCGCATGCCTTTAACTCCAGCACTCGGGAGGCAGAGGCAGGCGGATCTCTGTGAGTTCGAGGCCAGCCTGGTCTACAAGAGCGCGAGTTCCAGACAGCCTCCAAAACAATACAGAGAAACCTTGTCTCCAAAAACCAAAAAAAACAAAAAACAAAAAACCATGCTGGACACTGCTGTAAGTGCTTAGATACAACTCTGAACAAAGTTGACAAGGCCTCTGCTCTCCCTACCTTAAATTTTAACTGGTAAAAGACAGAAAAGGGACATTAGGCTCTCATACCAAAAGAATCCCTGGACAATCACACCCAAAGGGTGGACCTCCCCAAGCAGTTTAAGCAAAGCTCAGGCCTTTCGGATATATACATAAACAAGGGATATTTTAAGGCTAAGATGATAGGAAAGCAGATTTTTCTCCTGCCCACAGAAGCACTCCTTTTTGATCTCCAAATCTGCGGCATAAATAACGTTTCCCTAATTCTCCTCATCAGGCGGCAAGGTTTAAAACGGCACACATTGGCAACGAGCCAAAACTGGGCTCTGGACAGGACAGACTGTTCTGCTGGCTTGAAGACTACCTGAACATGTTTAAATGAAAGGCCACGGCAAATATAAAAGTAAGTAGGCTTTGCTCCTAGTTAGTTAGTACGTGCTTCAGGAAGGTTTCTGGAGTACTCAAGGAGACCGCCTCAGATCTGCTTTTTTGGGTGAAATAGCTCTTCTGGCTCAGGGAAGAATTAGGAGTTACTAGCTCCATTTAGGCCCTGAACGTTCTCAATAAACCTCAGTTCAAGACGACACATTTGCCATTTTTTTTAAAAAGTGAAATCACTCCTCTGTCTTGCTCACAGCTGCATCACCAGCAACTGGTCCAGCGCCTGGCTCAGAGAAAGTGGGTTACGAAATATTTAAGGGACGAAAAAGGGCCGACTGAGACGGAGAGATTGCTGGCTCCCAGTCAGCCAAATCTCCCAAGGGCTTAAAACAAAGAAAGTGCATCACACTATATACTTCAACTCTTTCCCATCCAAAGGCCAGATAGGTCTGATGGGGGAGGGGTACTAGGGAGGTGACATCGCGGGAAGGATGCACCGCGCCAAGGTCACGGATGCAGGAAGAGACGCGGGGTCTTGGTACCCCGAGAACCTCGCTCCACGTGATCACATTCCCCTCGGATACACACGCAGCAGTCAGATTCCACGTTGCACGGTCAGATATAGCCCTCTGGACCCGGGCAAGTGGGCCAGCTGCCCCACAGGGCAGCTGGTCAAGGGCATGCGCGCCCCCCAGCGACACAGCCAATCGGCGACACGCAGCTCCGGCACCAGAGCCAATCGGCGAGAGGCTGGCCCGGCGCCGCCGCCCACGTGCTCACCCCTCGCCCCGCACCCCACCCTGCGGAGTCAGCATCTGGGACCCCCCATCACCCGCTAGAGCTGGGGTCCGGGTGCAGCTGAGAGCCACAATTCGCGTCCCCGGGGACTGCGACGGCTCGCTGTCCAGCGACGCAGGGGGAGGGATGAGGGGTCCTGAGGGTCACCGTGAGGATGCGGACACTCAGCTCTCATCCCCGGGGAAGGGGCCCCCCGGGGCACACGGGAGAGTGAGGATGCGTGCGAGTGTTAGCGCGCGGCCCGGATGCAGGCGTCGCAGCGTCCGTAGCTCGGCTGGGCAGGGACAGGCCCGCGGTCCCGCTCCATCTCAGTATCTCTCGATCGGCTCACCTGGCTCTGGCAGAGGCTGCGGCTGCAAGGCCTGGGTGAAAGGCGGCAGCCACCCCGGAGAGGACGCGGCTGGAGTGCAGCAGGGCCATGGTGGGCAGTGGACGGCGGCAGAGCGGAGAGCACGGGAAGCGTCCGCAGGAACAGAGGCGGGGGCTCCTAAAAGGTGAGGACACCGACTTCCCTGGGCGTGGCTAGAGCGGCGGGAGAGAGCCTTGTCACAGCGGCCCCTGGCGGTCCGGGGCAGAACCACGACGCCTCCATGGAGGTCATGGAAACCTGCAAGGACGCCGCTAATCGCACACAGCCTGCGAAACCTGAGAAGCTTGCGGTGTGTGAGGATGCGCAGAAACGCGGCGCTCAGCGCTCTGCTTCCAATCATCTGGTCCGTCAAAGGCAGCAGCTACTGTGCCAGTTTGAAAGGCGGGAAGTAGGCCGACGCCAAGGAAACATTTTTTTCCCAATGCCGCACAGCCTTTTAAGACACAATGTAGACAGACTTTGTTTCAACCCTTTACCCACCAGCCGGACTTTCCCTAAATGCAGGTGTCTCAACGTCCGGAATGCTTCCAAGTCCTGTGACAGAGAGGACAGCAGGTGTATTTTATAGGGCAGTTGCGAGGATTAACTGAGATTAGCCCATTATGCCTAAAAAACAAGGCCTAATTAGTAGATATAGAATAACCCACGACCAGCAACAAACTGTTGCACATCATATCATCATAATTATGTTTGGAAAAAATGAGTAATTTTTAAAAGGGTGAGGTAATGAATTTGAGACAAGCCTATAAATTGAGCAAGTCCACTTTAAACATAGGATAATTCCCAGGCACTCTTCTTAGAAATCTGTATAGAATTGAACCACTTGTCAATTTAATTTGTCCTCTGTCATAGCATGTGCTCCAAACCAGTCCCAACCACCCATCATCAAAAACATAATAAAAAGTCAAATTACTAGTGGGAAACAAAAAGATTTACTCAATGTGGCCACATTGGGAAGCTGGACAAAGAGAGTCAGCGCACCCCCTTTTCCAAACTTTGTCTTCAGGGTTCTGGGTATTAAAATTTAAATAGAGGGACAAGGGTTTCCAGTCAAAGTGTGGTCCTGCCTGTCATTGGCCCACCCTTAAGGTGATCTGACAAATTGTTAGAACTGGTGGAACCTTGTTGGGCATGGTTGCACATGCGCCTTTAGTCCCAGCACTCAGAAGATACAGGCAGGCAGTTTGAGTTTGAGGTCAGCCTGGTCTACAAAGCGAGTTCCCAGGCAGCTGGGGCTACACAGAGAAAACCTGTCTCAAAACAAATCAAATAAGTAAAAAATAATTGCGTGGAATCTCTTTCTGGGAGATAAGTTGCCACTCTGGCTGGGGCCTTTTTCTCCTTTCAGTGTGAGATTTCTGGAGAAATTCCCATTTCTTTGGGTTCCGTTGTTTCAACAGTCAAATAAAGAGGCCTGGTGTCTCTTTAGGATGCCTTCGTTTCTGCCAGGCCTGTTACATGAGGAAGTCCAGATCCCTACATGGAGTCCATGGTAGGCTGTTCTGATCTTGCCCTAATTGTAAGGAAAAAGGGCCAGCTAAAGAAACACACCCTGAGCAGAGTCAAATAAACATGCTTTGGCCCTGCAACCAGAACTAAAGAAATGTACCCTGACCCTGAAACCAGTGCCAAAGAAACACACTTTGTTCCTGGAATCAGAGTCAGTGAAAGAAATGCACCCTGGCCCTAAAATTGGAGCCAAAAGGCTAAAAGGGACCAGTGAATGAAACACACTTTGGCCCTGAAAACAGAGCCAAATCTGACCCTAACCCTGTGCAGAAAGCTAACCAATCCTTAAGCAGGAGCTCTAGCTAATCTGAGCTCAGCATTGAAATCTGACCAATGCCCACCCTGGAGATCTCCCTGGAGAAACTCCACCCCCTAAGAATCCCTATATAAACCCTGTGTCTGTTCAGCTTGAGCCTGTTCAGGCTGCCTGGCTGTCCTCTGCCACCCTGGCAGAGGTCAGCCACCTACCTGGATTCTTCCCTCCCAATAAATCTCTTGAATGAGGTTTGGGTGAGACATTCTTTCTCTGGAGCAGAGATGCCCAGGAGCAGAGACAACCCTGGGCGGAGAGCAGTGGAGCAAGGCTGTAACACTTTTCGCTGGGGAAACCTTTTCCTGGAGAAACTAAGTTGTTACACTCCGCTCTCTGGCAGACTGGAGCCGAACTGTAACAACTTTGCCTGGGAAACCTTCTCCCTCAGAACTGTAACAACTTTGCCTGGGAAACCTTCTCCCTTCGGAGCTTTTCCCTGTAAGCTGCCATGCTTACTGAAACCTGTGGTATTCCTTGGCTCCCGATTGCCAGAATACCTTTCCATCCGAGCTGTAACACTCAGTATTCTTTGGCTTCTGAGTGCCAAAATCCCTCCCTGTCCAATCCCATCTGGTCTGTCGAAATGCTTACTCTAACTTACTGTCTCTGTCATATGGTGTCTCACTGACCTTGGCCTGTGTTCCTACCCAGTGGGCTGCGGTTCCTGCACTACTTAGTGTGTAGGTTTTCCCTCTGGTGTAATAACATGATCACTGTATGACTAGCTTGGAATAAGGATAGTGTGCTGGGTAGTTGTCGTCAGCTTGCCCAAACCTAGACATACGTGGGAAGAGGAAATATTAATTGAGAAAATGCCGCCATTAGATTGGCCTGTAGGCAAGTCCGAGGGAGCACCTTCGTGATTGGTCACTGATGTGGGAGGGCTCAGCCCAATATGGGCAGTGCCACCCCTGAGCAGGTGGTCCTGGGGTCTATAAGACAGCAGACTGAGCAAGGCAGGAGGAGCGCTCTTCTGAGGTCTCTGTTGCAGTGCCTGCCTCCAAGTTCTGCTCTGGCGATGAAACCCCAAAGAAGCTCCTTTTCATTTGAAGTGGGAAGACCCACTTCTCATCCAGATCTTTGAGGTGAAAAGGTCCACCTTTCATCTGGGCCACACTTTCTTCTGGCAGCCTATAGAAAGGACATGCGAGGGGCCTGGAGAGATGGCTCAGTGGTTAGGAGCACTGACTGCTCTTCCAGAGGTCCCAGGTTTGAATCCCAGCACCCATCTGGTGGCTCACAACTGTCTGTAGCTCCAGTTCCAGGGGGATCTGACACCTTCACACCAATGTACATAAAATAAATTTAAATTATTTTAAAAAGAAAGGACGTGGGAGAGGGAAGCTTTCTCTCTGCCTGCTTGCTCTCACTCTTGGTAGAACTAATGCTATTCGTTCACTGGCATTACAGCCTCTTTCTTTGGGAAATATTCCAGTGTTTACTGAACACCAGCTGAGATATCCAGCCTCATGAACTAAACAACTACTGGATTCTTAGACCTCTGTTCATAGGCAGTCATTGTTGCATTAGTTGGACTATAGCCTGTAAGTCATTCTAAGAAATCCCCTTTCTGACTTCCATGAGTGTGTGTAGAGAGGCCCAGGGGCAGCGGAAATATACGATATATATATATATATATATATATATATATATATGCATATATATGTATATATATGTGTGTGTGTACATATATATGTGTGTATTATATATATTCACTCTATAAGTATTGTGTATACACACACACACACACACACACACACACACACACACTCACTCACTCTATAAGTACTGTTTCTCTAGAGAACCCTGACTAATACCAGAGCAGAAGATGGGCTGGGAGAGGAGGACCACTGAATCTTCACCTAGGATTTTGGCCTGGCTTCTCATCCTTCAGCTGAAAGTAATCCGAGAAGATGCTGGCAGTACCTGGAAGGTAGAAAGTTCACTAAAAGTGAAACTGTGAGGAGGAGGACTAGTGTGCGCCAGGGGCATAGTACCTGCTTCTGGACCTGCAAGGCCATTGGCGCAGCCTGCCCCAGGAGCCAGTGGAAGGCAATGGCCCCCAGCGAGCTGTTCCCAGAGCAGTTCTCAGGTGAGCTCAGTTCTAATGACAGGTCTCGGTATGGAGTTGCAAAGTGTGGGAGGGTTTGTTGTGTGCCAATAGGTAAATGTTAACAACAGGGCATCTGTGTGTGTATGTGTGTGTGTGTGTGTGTGTGAGAGAGAGAGAGAGAGAGAGAGAGAGAGAGAGAGAGAGAGAGAGAGAGAGAGAGAGAGAGAGAGAGAGAGAGAGAGAGAGCATGTGTCTGCGCCTGTGTGCCTGTGCTTATGAAGGAGATGGGATGCTTGTTTGGAAGGAAGCTACTCAGGAGGAAGCAACAGAAACTCTCATCCGGGTATCTGGGCTGGGGAGGCATGTGGACACCTGTGGGTCAACCAGACTGACCAGCTCCATTCCCATGCCTCAACCCAGTTTTTGCTCAAGTTCTGTAAAAGCCCCCAAACCAGCAGTTGGATGGAGCCCCCTCTCTGGGACCTGCTCTGCTGCTCAGAGCTCTTACTCCTCTTCTCTGTCTGTGAGTCTGTAATAAATTACTTTCTAAAAACTCATTCTTCCTGTAAGCAGTGAAGTTTATACTTCCAGTTTACAGCGTAAAAGCCCAAAGGCACTGGATCAGTGAAGGTTTTTGTGCTGTGTGTTTCTGGAACCCCGACTTCTGAGTTAGGTCCACCTGCGGCTGGGATGCCCGCATCACACTCAAGGTCCTCAGTTTACCCCGTTTCAATATCTTTCAGGTTTCTTAACAACCCCACAGATGGGCCGGGTGGTGGTGGCGGTGCATGCCTTTAATCCCAGCACTCAGGAAGCAGAGGTCAGCTAGGTCTACAAAGCGAGTTCTAGGACAGTCAAAGCTACACAGAGAAAGTCTGTTTTGAAAAACAAAACACACAAAAAGAAAACAAACAAAAAAGAAAAGCAAGCAAACTAACAAAATAAAAAAGCTACCCCACCGATGGATGTAATTTTAGGAGCCAGCAAAAACAGGGTGTGTGGGAATGTGTGCCCCTTCCTGCCTCCTCTCCCTCCTCTTCCTCTTTGGTGTGGTGTAAGAGTATGTTTGCATGTGTGGGGGACCAGAGGAAAATGCTGGCTATGCTTTTCTATTGTTATCCACCCGAATGTTCGAGACAGGATTTCTCACTGAATCTGAAGCTAGACTGGCTGGCTGGTGAACTCAGGGGCCCGCCTGTAGATGGGCCACTGTGCCACTGTGCCTGGCTTCCACATGGGTGTTGGCTATCTGACCGCATGTTC